GTTTTAAATGCTGCTATTGAAAAGTTTCAGAGTACACTTTCAGACTTAATAAGGATAGAACTTTTAAAACAATGAGGAAGAAAGTGTACACAGCAGTCAGAGTGGAATGGAATGGGGGGTAGGCCAAGGAGCGTGGTAAGGGCTAATGAATGCCCTTAGCTGGGCCCCAGGGATGCATGATGGACCCTGGTCCACCCTTGTCTCTCAGACTCTGCAGCAGCCCCTAAATTAGTAAATATCAATGACCCCCACGTGCTCCCCATGACCCACAGGTGAACCTCCATCTCCATGGGGTGATCCAGGACCTTCTGCTAGGTTCCTCCAGTGGCATTTCCCACCCATGCCTCCAACCAGATGGTGTTCTTCATGGTTCCCCAAACACCCCTGTATCTCAGTGGAAGTTCCGCCTTCCTCTTTACTCAGTTCTAATGGTACCTCCTCTACAAGGCTTTCTTTAATTCCTCCACCCTCAGAATTAATCACCCTCTCACTATGCAATCTTTGCACCACTGTTAAATTTCTCCTGCAGAGCCCCACCCACCCCCAGTTGAGGATAATCTACTGGAAATCTTGTATTCTCCCCAAATGGAGCCAAAAATAACAGAAAAGTTTAGTGTTCCTCAAGCACAGAGACTCTGCTCTTAACTCTCTGTGACCAATTTGTACTAAAGAGTCTAGAACACACTGGATTCTCAACGAGAAGGTTACTGGACTGAATTAAATCACCATTTCTGTGCTTTTAGAGTTCAAATCTACATAGAATCTTAAACTTTTACTATAACAAAGTTTGTGATAAAAATTAAAATAGAATTAAAGTCCACACACAGAAAGGGGTGGTCTGGTCCACAGACAAGCACTCTGAGGAGCACTGCCGTTAGCAGAAGCATAACGCTGACTTTTGGAACTAACTCAAGACTTCTGCAGTTAGGATGACACATCCGTAGCTGTGACATGAGAATGACCACTCTCTTCTGGAGTCTGTTTTCTTCAGAGAAGTATGAAGAACAGACTACAGAACTTAGACACTTTGGGCTTTAAATGGAACCCAGGAGCCTTCCTGTAAAGGTGGGAGGGCCAGCTGAGAGGCAGCTGTCTCCTTTTCCTTCTGCCTAAAGCAGTGTTGGTTCTCAAACCTTACTCAACAGAACAGCCATAGAGGCCATGGCTAAGGATGGGAGTGTGGGCTTCAATTAGAACAGCTTTTATTCTCCTATATATTGGTTTCAAGTAAGATTTCAATCTGAAACAAGAGTTTTGCTGTTTAAAAATGTCTAGAAAACCACTAGAGTAAAAAATTCTACCACAGCCTTCCCCAGGAAGCGAAAAGAGGCTTACAGGCAAGTGGGCGCACATGGAACCACACCTGTCAGTGGTCCCAGGTGTGAGCAAACCACTTATTCAAACTCCAAGGGAGGACAGGGAAATGGAGTTTGGCTTCAGTCTTCACAGGAGGGCCGCACACCTTTGTCCACCCCAGAGAACAGAAATCCTTAGACTTCTCAGCCTGTGAAGAGACACTAAGCAGCCTGAGGCAGGAACTGAGAGGACAGGTCCTGAGATGGTCAGTCACCAGCCACCGTCTCCAGGAAGCCTTATTACATCTTTTCAGGCAAAGCAGAGCGTCTCTTTATAAAAAGTTTGCCTCCCCCAGTGCTCACCCAGAAGCTATCCTTGTTGTTGGTTGGGAAGACTTCAACTTTCTGTAGTGAGTTTATCTCATTAGTTGGTGTGGGAAGCCAAGAAGACGTGGCTATCAGCCTGACCCCACAATGATGTTAGCGGGAGGCTCAGCCCTGTCTCCCACTAATGTGTATTAGACTCCAGAGCTGAACAAGCAAGTGCAGGTGGAATGGTGAGATCTCTCTCTCCTACTGAGCCCACTTCCTGGTGATGGCTGGCTAGGAAGGTTAACGAGGGCACCCTTAACATAAAATGCCCATGGGAGGTCAAGGCAGCGGCATCTCTGCAGGTAGGTGATAGCCTTAGTCTCCTCAACTGTCCTAATGGCCTCAGAGTGGTGACACAGCAGCTCAGCAGCTAGGATCACATCACCCCAAATTACTGACAATCACCACAGTATCAATCACAAATTAAGTCCACATTTTAACACAAGCTCAAAGTTAAAAGTTCACTTTCTAAAATGTGAGTGCTGAGGAAAGGCTGGTAGTAAGGGCTGCTTGCCTAGCACCAAGGAACAGGAGGGGTGATAGATCATCTAGTGTATGTGCTGGCGTGAAGCCTTCTACTTGAAAACATTCTCCCATCTCCAGTAGGTAACACCCTGTTTGAAAGAGCAGTGGTTTAGGATTCAGAAAGATCTGGGTTCAAATCCTGACTTCAACACTTACTAGGCTTGGTGGCTTTTGGCAAGTCAATTAAATTCCTGGAACCCTGGTTTCCTAAATATTATTCCTCAACATCTGACTAATGAAACTTTCTTTGTAGTACAGGTAAATGAGAGAACACAGACAGGCTCTGCACCACACGGACTGCTGTCTGTTAGTTCCCAAACAGCAGCATGTTCTCCATGCGGCTCGTCCCTGGGATTCCCTCCACGTTTTATTTTGGCTCTTTCTGCTAACACGTATCCAACAGTGCCCTAATTTCACATTCCCATTTGCATGGCCAGCTCTGTGAATAAGGGGTTGGCTGTTATGGGCATAGCTGCCCACCGTGATGAACGCCATGCCTGGAACACACAATTGGTATTAGCTGATGGGAAGAACAAAAGCCTCATTTTCCCAAGAATAATGTGGTAGGGGAGGAAAGAAACTGTAAGAAGATGGAGGTGGTTCTTGGAGCTGAAATTCAGAGCCAGTTGCTACCCAACTGTCTCTGTTTCCACCTCCTCCTTGTGCTGCCCCAAAGGAGAGTGGGCCAGGGTTGCAAGTGGGGGGAAGTCTTTTTTTTTTTTAAGAACAAACACAAATACAACTGTGTGTTTGTGTGTATGGTGCATATAAAGTAATGGCAAAATTGTTTTCACTGAGGAAGATTCTTAAAATCACCAAGTGAGAAAGGGAGTGCTTCCCGCACCCCATGGGGACCCTTCTGAACAGGAGAGCTTCATTCATCTTATAGGGCTTTTGGTCTAGGGCTGCAGTGCCCTGGAGAGTTTATAGGAACCACACAGACAGAGCAGAAATAGAGCAATTTATAACATTGCAGATGGAACCACAAAATTGATGTCTGTAAACTTCTTTGTACACCATTAATCCGTTAGCTCAGAGAAACTAGAAACAGTCAGAACTTGAGCAAATACTGCAGTAGTTACGTCCACATAGAGAGGAATGCACCTTTGGTTAAAAAGCAGGATCTAAGAAGTTATCTTAGTCTTCCGACTGCTCAGCCAGTGCAGCTAAAAGCCAGCCACCATCAGCCACACGTGAGAGCGAGCCAGCATGCTGCCCACTGCAGAGGGCACACCAAATGCTCCTTCCTGGTAACTAGCGCTACTCCACAGCCAGACTTGTTTGCATAAAAAGAGTTGCAGGACTTTGGGAAGGGTCCCAGTGTTCAGCACTCAGTGCTGTGAAATTATACTTTATTCTTCAGGTTTACAATGAAAACACAAATTTACTTAATGTGTGGAAAAAACACAGAACAGAACAAAAAATGGCATATGGGAATGGAAACAATATGAGCTGCAAATTTGTTTTTATTACAAAAAGGCCTCCTTGTAAACTATAATCTCTGCATTCCTAAAACAGAGCATTATTTGGGGG